TTTCATGTTTTATGAATATTAAGTAGGAGTTTCGAGAGGTACTACTTCTGGTAAGACCACAGTGTGTGACATGATTATTCAACAACTTGACCATCGAGTGATTCAAATCTCACCCAACGTGGTGCTTAGTGGACCAGTGCATCTCCAACAATTAATCTTAGCTGCATGGGAATAAGTAGTAGTAGTCGCCGCCGATGCAAAACTCGTCGCCTATTCAGACGATCTTGTCAAGATCATTTCGGATTGTGAAGTCCCACAGAACTAAGAGTGGATCCATAGAGAGAAAAAGATGTTGATTTAGGAAGACAATAGAATATTTGATGAGCTGAAGAAAGTGTTCTTGTTCATCTTTATCTCTCTCGATGATTTCTTTATATATATGTAAAATGGTTAGATTTCTTTGCTCCAGATTATATTTAACCTTTTTTTTTTTTTTTGTAGTTGTTGATCTGGTGTTGTTGTTCATGATGATGATGATAATGATCAAATAGATAATTTTTTATTCTTGTTTTTGTGTTGAACAGATAAAGATGAAAAATAAATAGAGAGAGAAAGAAAAAAAATTTGAACAAATAATAAAATATGTGTTTAAAGTTTGAATAGATAAAAAAAATTAAATAGATAAAAAATTGAACCTATAGTTTTAAGCATATTGGTGACAAAATTGAACAGATAGGAAAAGTTTTGAACATATGGGAAAAAAATTTGAACAAATAATTTTTTTTTGAACATATTGGAAAAAATTTGAACCAATAGGGAAAAAAACTGAATAGATAGTCAACTAAAGTCAACTGATAAATTAAAATATAAAATTGGTAACAAAATGTCCTCCAAAACTAATAAAAGGACTTCTCACCAAACTATTTCACAAATAGGGGACATTTTACGAACAAAAAAAATATTCACTGGGCCTAATACCTTATACCCTCATTACCTTCAACTTTTATAATTATCTTTATATTATATTATCAAATCAATCTTTTATAGGTGTTAGTATTTTTATTTCTTTTATATATAAAAGGGTAGTTTTAGCAATATAATAAAATAGTATTTAATTGTTTTATTTTCTCTTGGGTAGTTCTACTTACACTACACTTCTAACTCTTTACATCCATATCTAAAAGGGTTAATTACACTAATAGTCCCTATAGTTTGGAACTTGTGTCACTTTGGTCCCTGATTTTTTAATTGTGACACATTTGATCCTGAATTTTGAATCTTGTTCCAAATAAGGACAATTGAAAATATTATTAGATTTTTCAAGGGTAAAATCGTCAATTTGATAAAATATAAACTAATTTGACAAAAATAAATGTCAAAAAAATATTTTTAATTTTTTTAAAATAATTTTTATCCACCAATGATAAAATTATGTAAAATTAATAAAAATTACATGATTAATTTTTTAAAATTAATTTTACATGATCATCATCTAAGCACATAATAAAAATTAATTTGGTAAAAAAAAAATTAAATGTCTAAAAGATTTATCAGTTTTACATAATTTTATTTTTAGTATGTAGAAATAATTTTTAAAAATTCAAAAATATTTGTTTGACATTTATTTTTGTCAAATTAGTTTATATTTTATCAAATTGACAATTTTACCCTTGAAAAATCTAATTATATATTCAATTGTCCTTATTTGGAATAAGATTCAAAATTCATGGTCAAATGTATCACAATTGAAAAGTCAGAGACCAAAGTGACACAAGCCCCAAACTATGGGGACTATTTGTGTAATTTGCCCTATCTAAAATTACCATAATGACTTGTCGCTTCTAATTTGAAAACCTAATTTTTTATTACACCCTTATCTTATCACTGCTACCTCAACCGGCCCACCACCATCGCCGTCTCTCCACTACAACCTTTTTTCCTTACCTAGTCCCTTTCCGTCTCATCCATGTCCTCTGTCGCCACCATTCCCTTCCATCTAGCTTCTCTTGCTAATCGCCAACAACCGTTACCTAACATTTCACCACTGACTGCAGATTTTACGAACCATTCGATTCTGGTTCACCGAACACATGACCTTTGTCTAGTTATGGGTTGCCATACATGCAAGGTATGTTCAGTTGTAAGATGTTGAACATGATAGGTTTGTATGTTTGGAAATGGATGTAAGAGTGTTTCAATTTTGTTCGATAGTTGCTTTATATGCAATTTGGTTTTGTTTGACAATGGGGTTTCAAATTGTTTAGTTTTGTACATTTTTGGTACACTGAGCAAAATTCGAACAACTATCTTCGACCACTGCGAGCCCTATCTCGCTACGATGACGATGGGTCGCAGTGGTAGGGAACGCATATGGAGTGATTGATATGGTGGTGAGAGTTACTGTGATGGAGTGACAGAGGGGGTGATGGTTGCGGCAGTGAAAGGTTGCGAAGGTAGTGGTCACGACGACGGTGATGGTCGCAATGATGAAACGATGGAGAGGGTAGTGACTACGGTGAGATGGTGGAATAAGTTAGGGTTTTTTAGGTTTTGAGTGTAAGGAGAAGAGTGAATGACAGAAATAAAAGTAATAATTGAATTCTAAAAATTGTGGAAAAAAATAAAAATAAATTTTAAGGGTGTAAGTAGTTAGTTTTGTAGTGTAAACATAATTACCCTTTTTCTCTCTCAATTGTATACTTTTAGAGAAATTTAAATAGGCATTTCTTTATATTTTACTCAATTTTTGTCATTTTTAATTATCCAAACAGGTGATATGGACCAAGAGAATTACGACCCTGTTTGGGAAAGACTTTTTTAGCTAAAATAATCAATAAAAAGAAAAAATATTAAAATAGTTAGAAAGATAAAATATTACATCCTACACATCAACCAATCACTTTTTCTCTCACAACCATCTATTGAATTGCAAAAAAAAAAAATCTAAAAATCATCCAAAATATAGGCTCCGTTTGGTTTAGTTTTAAAATTATGATTTTAGTGTGGAATTGTGAGTTGAGTTTTATATGTTTGGTGTGGAGTTCTAATCACGACTCCACACCCATATTTGAGTATCATGTTTGATTACAACTTTCAAAAATTAATTCCACATTACTTTTGAAAACTCGTTAACTCGTTTCAGGCGAGATTTGAATCTTGAAATTTGGCCTATTTGATCGTCCTCTTAGACGTTCGGCCAGTTGACTGGAACAATACAAATTTATTTATTTATTTATTTTAGCGATTGGCATCTGTTATTTTTTATATATTAAATAAAAAATATTTTCTGAATTTTAAATTTTTTTTTATAAGTTTTGAATAAAAATTTGAGTTGTGTGTTTGGTTATAAGTTGTAAGTTTGTGAATTAAATATCATTTGTCACATCAATTATTCCAAATTCAATTCAAAACTTTTTTCAAAACTCATAAGCAAACAAAATTTTCACACTCAAATCATAATTTCAAAACTCACAAACTCAAAATACAATTCTATTCTCAAATCATAGTTCTAAAACTTTACCAAACGCAAATTTGTTTGTTATGAGTTTTGAAAAGAATTTTAAGCTTTTGAATTTTGAATTTTGAAAAGAATTTTGAGTTGTATTTTAAGTTTTGAATTTTTGAATTTTGAGTTGTATTTTGAAATTTTTTGGATTTTTTTAAATATTTAAAAATATTTAAGACATTTTATTTATCCTAAAAAAATAAAAGTAATTTTTTTAAAATAAACACTCAAAATTCTAAAAAATAATTTTAAAAAACAAAATAAAAAATATTTTTTAATTTTTTTAAAAAATAGAGTTTTGAAAAGAGTTTTGATTTTGAATTTTAAAAATAATTTTGAATTGAATTTTAAGTTGTGTGTTCGGTTTTGAATTTTGAAATTAATTTTGAAATTGAGTTTTGAATAATTTTAAATTATATATTTGATTATAAATTTTAAAAAATATTTTACAAATTTTAAGCGTAGAATCATGATTCCACATTCAAACCAAACTAAGATGCAACCTAATTTTTTCATTTTATTGGCGCTGTTTGGGAAACACAGGTTAAGGCTATTATAGCCGCATTTAGGATATAAGCCAAAAAAACGTGAATAGTAGGTGGAGGTGTAAAATTCAAAATTCAAAATTCAAAAAAAAAAAAAAGACTGTAGCTCGGGACAGTGTAGGCACAGCCTACACTGTTAGTTGACAGATTGTAAAATCAATTGGAAAATTACAATTTCACACCTTTATATCAATTTAAAAAATTATAATCTTAGGGACAAATTTGTCATTTTAACTTCAAATATCATTTCAACACATTTTTCAATACAACAACTCAAATAAAAATTCATCTCATCTTTCCAAACACAAAAACTAAAATAGCCTACTGGGTAATGCTAGGGACACTAAATTTTCTACCAAACAAATGACCAAATGTCTCAAATTCAAAATTCAAAATTCAAATTCAAAATTCAAAAAAAAAAAAAAGACTGTAGCTCGGGACAGTGTAGCCTACACTGTCAGTTGACAGATTGTAAAATCAATTGGAAAATTACAATTTCACACCTTTATATCAATTTAAAAAAGTATAATCTTAGGGACAAATTTGTCATTTTAACTTCAAATATCATTTCAACACATTTTTCAATACAACAACTCAAATAAAAATTCATCTCATCTTTCCAAACACAAAAACTAAAATAGCCTACTGGGTAATGCTAGGGACACTAAATTTTCTACCAAACAAATGACCAAATGTCTCACATGGGTATGGGGTCCGCAATTTTGTGAGTCCCACACCAGACATTTGGTCATTTATTTGGTAGAAAATTTGGGACCTCTAGCATTTTTCTAGCCTACTATAGGTAAAATGCCAACTAAGATATCCAAATTTCCAAAGGAGGCCTACATTTATTTTCTTTCCTTTTATTTCCATCGAAATCAGCCAATCCAAACGGGCTGGCCATTGCGTAGGTTTGCAAATCTTTGGGTATTATAATGAAATTTAAAAAGGGTATGTGGGTAATTTTAGAAAATATATGGGGGAACTAAAAGGACTCTTTTAACCTCCATAGGCACACCCTCCATCAGCTGACCTCTGATCTGAGTCGTCCTGAGAAAAAGTGAGGGGGAAGTTACTGTGGGGGAGTCAAGGGCTAGCTAGGGCTTCGCATTTCATGCACAGAGAGAGAGAGAGAGAGAGAGAGACCAGTGCACACGAGTTTTGATCAAACACCAAGACGATTGTTGTGGTTGGAGTCGGAGCAACCACCGAATATGCTTACATTTTGCTAACAAAAAAACAAAAAGTAGGTGTAAAATGGTTGTTGTGATTTTTGATGAGTTTGCAGGGTAGGATATGTTTATATTCGTCTCTCTAAAAAGTAATTGTGTGTATTTTTTTGTCGGATTATTATTATGATTGCAGAAGAAGAATTATATTGGGATTGGGATTGGGATTGGGAGAATTTTCATTTTCTTCAGTCTTTGGATTTGGA